ATTTTCCACATCTGAATAAAGTTTTTACAGATTTTTTTTTTTATTCAGAAGTTTTTCAGCATCATACTTCAGACTTAGCATTGATTGATAATCATTTACTATTTCCAGTAGTTACATTATTATAGTCAATCTTTGCTAAAATTTTCGTTCATACTTTGGCATCTTTTTCTACTGTTAGCCCTTGCACAAAAATTAATCCCTTGAATATATCAGTCATTTCCTTTATTGTTCACACTCTCTGTTGACAGTACCTGAATACATGACTAAATCTTCATCCTCTTTTTTAGTAGGTGGTTTTCCCGCCATTTTGTGGTAGCTTTATGCTAGGTACCTCCATGAAAACACTAAAAAAAATCAGCATACTGTGATTAAAATATGCTCCAAACATAATGAAAACATAGTTTTACTGTCAAAATTGTTATTATTAAGAGGAAGTATTTTTTGATTATTTAAATTTTTTACTCCATTTTTAGAACGTTTGAATTTTAAAAAAAAAAAAAAAAAAAAAAAACTTGCATCAGCAGTTGTACTAATTTTTCGCATACCAAATTTTGGTCTTTTTTTTTTTTTTTTTTGCAGTGAGGCATTAATTTGGAAATTCATGCAAATAATTGTCAGATTTTAATGAAATTTTCAGGACTTATTTGCAATTGAATGAAATTATTTTTAGAAAATCTTAGTAAATTTTTTTTTTTTTATGTGTCACTCTCTTACTCAATTTTATGAAACTTGAGAAATTCAACATTATAATTTTTAGTGATTATATTAGTTAAAAGCAGAATTCTTTGAAACATTTAAAACACCAAATTGTTTTTGCAAAATCAGTCTTACCAGAAATATGTTCGGAATCAAAAATTAAAAAACTCAGTAAAACTAAGACCTTATTTAATTAGAGAAGATTTTAATTGCTTCTACGAATAATATATACTGAAGACAATATTGTCTGAAGAGGGAAAAAATTTTCAAATTTTTACAAGATTTATTTTCATTTTTTTACAATTTTAAATTGAATAATTTATAAAGTTTTTAAATCTTTTAAAATTCATTTTCAGTGTGATAATTCTTAGAAAATATTGTTAAGTAAAACTGTATTTACTAGTCATATATTGTAAAGCTTATTACCATCTGACAACCCTGAATATTTTTAAAAGAATTTTAATTTGTTTCTGTCTGTAATTATATACACAATTTCTGATATGCAAATTGATAAATCTATTATTAAAAGATCACATTTTTTTAAGGGTTGTCATACTCTCTCCTATCCCCCCCCCTGGAAAAAATAACCCCTGTTGAAAAAAAAAAAAAAAAAAAACTTGTGAGCATTTTCCTCAAATAAGGTTTCAGAAATCTACATTTTATTTTTGCAAGAAACTGGGAAATTAACTTTTGTTTACAAATTTGTCAGAAATGGTCGTTTTGATCAATTTTTGCAAAAAAAAAAAAAATTCCAATCAATATCATTTCTATTTGAAATACACCACAGTAATTTTTTTTTTTTTTTTTTGCTGGAAATAGTAAATTTTAGATCCTTTAGCTTTCAATTAAAGCTAAAATGAAAGCTTCAAGAAACCTTTTCATTTTTAAAAATTCATTTTAAACCTTACATATACCAAATTAGTGGAGGTATCTACTTGATACAAAAAAGAATGAAGACATTTTATTTTGGTTTATGGCCGCAACACATTGAAGCATTAGTTAACATTCCTGTATGATCACTGGAGTTAAGCAACATCGAGCCTGGCAAGTATCCAGATGGGTGACCACTTGGAAATACGAGGTGCTGTAATCTTGAATGTGCAGATGGTGTAATGGATAATGGCTTGAAATTGTTAATCAGAGAGCTAAGTTCCAATTCCTGTTGGGTTCATATATTCACTTATGCACACATACCCATGGGAAAGGTATGAATCCACTTCTCCGGCTATGGATTAATTAGTAATATTTCAATCCCTAAACCATTATCTCTAAAAAGAAAATAGGTTATTATAATCTAAAAATATTTTCTGGTTTTAAGTAACCTGCAAATGGTTAAACTGTAGTAAACAATTCAGTCAATCAATCAATCATTTATTTGCTATAAAATATGTCCAGGATAATGTACTGCAATATTTGACTATGGTTGGCCTACTGCTGTTGCTTAGGAGTTGGGAGGGATCACATTATACAAATATATGAAGAAAAAAAAAATCAGGGTTTTTATTATACAGGAAGTCATATATACGGTAATTTAAAACTGTCTCTATAAAGTTCTTTTAGAATGTACAACAACTTTGTATGTAAACCGGTGCATAAAAAGAAATATTAAACAGGCAGATCTTGTCAGTCATTATTTTACTAAAACTTGTTTTTCAATGAATTCTGTCTGTTTAGAAGTGTACAAAGCAAAAATGAGCTCTAGTATAATTATAAGTTTCTACTTAAGAGAGCACTTTGAATTTGTAACCCTCAATAGTTACATGATAATATGTTGAAAATACTTTTCAATACTTACCCTATCCTCATTATTACATAATGCAAGGTGGGGGGAGTGGGGAAGAATGTGATTTTGATAAAACTTTGCACATCATGCTACTTACCAACTACATAACAACTACAATTGAAAAGATTTATTCCAATCTTTATACAAAATATAATTTCTGGTACAAAACTGAAGCTGGAAGATATAGATATGTAGAATTCCCAACGAGAAATGTACATTCCTTAAATAGTTAATTAAAACCTAGTTCTATCAGTGCAGCTTCCGTGGTCAAATTGGTAGCAGCTTGTTTTGGTTATAAAAGCAGTTCCCTTAAGGAAAATGGAATACATGTTCTATTCCTATCAGAGTTACGGTCTTTCTTTAGTAGAGCAGCTCAATCTACGCTGTTTATTATTAATTTCCCTGTTTCAGAAAATTAAAAAAAAAAGTGTTAGCAACTCTAACATGTGTACCAACTAAAAATAATGTTTATAGTAATAAAAATTAAAATTTATTATGACTTCAAAAATAATAAGGGATCTGATCAACACAACCTGGCGATTGAATAATGTAGAGTGAATGGCAGTGGTTAAATGTAAATAATTGACGGATGTGCCCAACAAACAGAATTGACAAAGTTTGCAATAGGCAATAAAAAAAAGGAAAGAACAGGGCAATAGATAATATAAAGCAAGCAAACAATATATGCAAGGCGAATTAACAGTAATAAGGCAAGTAATATTGCAAAAAGTTCACAAACTCAGAATTGGGGTTAACACAAGCAAATTTGGATAAGCGAACATAGCATTCTGACTTCAAGGCAAAAGAGACCAAGAACTGACCTGTTTTATTGACAAGGAAGAAATCCTGGCATGCATTTGTGTGCTTCTGCCTATAAATTGGGAAGGGGAAAGTATTTTGCAGTCATTCCTATTAGATTGGAACCAAAAAACAGATTGGGGGGAAAATGTACTATGAAATACATTGGCAAGACTTACTAAAAAATTATATGAACATAAGATCTTTTGCAAATCACTACACTCAATGTATTAGTTGTTCATCATCTGCCTCACCATAAATTCAATTTAAGAAATACAGTTCTAATTACAAGAGGAATTTATTAAGTTAAAAATGTATTGAGTTTTAATCCTCTCCCATAAATTTCCAGGATCATGTAATAGATCTCTTTTCCTCACAAAATTACTATGAATAATGTGTGGTTAATTAAAAACAATAAAAATAAAAGTGATAAAAATTGAATGATATTAATATTTAAATGTTGAGTGTCTCTACATCTTTAATGTTTTTATATAAATTATAAGCTGCATTTGTTGTATCTCTCTCCAGGCCATTTTTTCTACCTCTTTTAATTAATAATTATTAAGCCTGACATGCTATGACTGTTCAGCCACAGAGAACTTCCAGTTAGCAAAGCCTGAATTACTGCTTTTAAACACATCTTTGTCTTTTATTTTTTTTAATTTTTTTTTTTTCAATCTATCATATCTACTCTGAAGTTGTAGCCAAACATAAACAATGACAACATATATGAAATAGGTTAAATCTGACATATTTAATATATTTTCTGTTTATACGTTTTCTTAGGGATACACTTATTTGAGTAAATATTCTGTTTTTCAATTAACTAGTATTAGTTACACTTACTAACCCGAGTGTTTGAGAAATTCTGTAGAAAATGTGCATCTTCTGACATGAAACTGTATCCAATACGGAACTGTCATTAAGCCTGACATGCTACAGCCACAGAGAACTTTCAGTTATATATATATCTCAATTTAAGATATAAAATATTTGAAACACCAATCTTTATGCTACCATGGTTTCATCAGTCAGTAAGCCTAGATGTTTTATTAAAACAAAAAAAAAAAACAACTCTTATCAAGGCAAATGCCTTGATAAAGTCTATCAGAGTGTGAAATGTGTCTGCTAAAATAAGTTTTCTTTTTGTCTTTATTCACACACATACATTCCATCAGTAAATCTATTAACCTATCTGAAGAAGTTCCTTCTTAGATCAAAACATGTCACTGCTGTTTCTTATCTGTGTGCGTATGTTTCATTAAATATGGCAGACAAGAAATATCTTGTGGGTTTTTTACTTGTGCCTTTTACAAGTTTTCATTTTTGAAAACTAAATGTGTGGGAAAATTGTTTATGCTGTTAGTTTACCCCAAACATTTTGGTTAATATCTTGGCTATTCTCAAGAAGGCTTTCATTTACTGTGTTACTGAGGATTATTAATCTATAGTGTGTTGTGTCAGAAGCAAAAAAACAAAAATTAGAGAACCCAGAATTGATGATTAATAAAATTCAACACTCATGTTTTCATAAAGGCTGGAAGTCAGAAGATAATATTTGATAGATTGATCTCTCCTGTTAATTATGGATAAAGAATCTCTCTTTCTTTGAGAGATTGTTTGCTGAATAAAAAATGTTTTGAATTTGTAAACTGATTTGAATCAACAATTTTGACAAATTGAAATGCTTTCTTATTTTTTTTCTTTTTAAATTGAATTACAGATGATGCCGAGATCTTCCAGATTAAAAAATCTAGTCACAGCAAACGGATAGCAAAGCAACTGAAAAAGGAAAGTCTGAAAGAGAAAGAAGAGCGGAAAAAGGAAGAGATTGAAGCTACCCCAAAACCTCCTTCTCCAACTCCTGTCAAAGTGGCTCCTATTGTTAATACAGAAGAAAAACTCAGGGTAAGCTTTTATCACTCCTTCTTTCCATTAATAACAACATTAATTAATTTTTAAATCTCTTAGCCAAATAAAATCTTTGTTGTTTATTTCCATATTTTGAATTAAATATTATTAGTGCATTAGCAAATTTTTTGAAGCTATAATCAAAAAAAGTTGTTGATCACCTAAATAAGAAGAACCTCTTGAGTGACAAGCAGTACAGGTTTCAATTGGACCAGTCCACTGCTGATATCCTAACTGCCATTACTCACAGAATTAGTGAGGTACTAGACAGCAAATACATTTCAAGGTTGATCACATTAGATATTTAAAATGCCTTTGACAAGATGTGGCATAAAGGATTATTACACAAGCTCTCCAGCTATGGAATCACTGGAAGAGTTTTCTCAATTATCAAGTCATTCTTAGCAGGTAAGTTCCAGAAGGTAGTTAATGGCTGGTCCTCTGAGGCCCTAGTAGTCAATGCGAGTGTCCCCCAGGGATTGATTCTCAGACCAACCTTCTTCCTAATTTATATAAATGATCTGCCTAAGAGTAAACTCTGATCATTTGTGAACATCTATGCTGATGATATACAGTTGCACCTCTCAAAACTTTAGATGAGCAGATGTTGGCAGCTGATCTCTCACTTACCTAGTTCTAACAACTCGATGCAGGAAGGAAAAACTGGCTGGTTGCATTCAATGTCTGGAAAACTAAACTAGTGACATTCCATCATTGGCAGTTGGGACCAGAACTATCACAATGATCAGATGTTCCCCCAGGGAGGCCTGTACCTTGAGCACCTATTGAGATTTAAACTTAGGCTAGGCCTCAAGTGGAACTTGTACATACAATCCTTCACTAAAGATGCTGGCAAAATGGTCAGTTCCCTGGACCACTCCAGTATGTACCTGACTCCATGTGCTATCCATTACCTTTACAAGAGTTTGATCAGGCCAAAAATGAAGTACTATTGCTATATATGTAAAAAAAAAAAAAAAAAAAAATTGAATATTATAATTGTCATAAATGCTAAAAAATAACATTCATTTGTCTTCAGACCATTAGGTGAGATTTTTTTCAAATTTAAATTTGAATACAAGAACAGTATATATATGTTGCCATTTGACCAAAGTAAAGACAAGAATTGATTTTTTTATGTCCAAACAAGAGACCAGTTCACATGTCAACTATTTTATCATGAATATAAAACAGATGAACATTACCTCAAGTTTCATGAAATGTCATTACTTCTCATGTCAGCAATTTTATATGTCACTATTACAAAGGTTATTGAGAATTTATTTTTAATTTGTGTTTTCAATAAATCAATAAGTGGCCAGTTTATTATCTTTTACGAATATTTGGTTTTCATCACCAATATTGATCTGTCTGCTCTTCAGTGGAATGTCCGAGTGTTTCATAGGTTGCCATGGATTTTGTGTATCTCTTCCTTTTTCTGCAAAAACAATGGTTCACATTTGCTTTAATGAAACTTTACTCTTGAATAAATCAAGAGATTCATTCTGTAAAAATATAAATCTTTTTCACATTACACAATATCACTTAAGCACTGGCATTTATTGAATTATTTTCATTCTTTGTTATTGTTTTTAATATTTAAAATCATTCATTTCATTATTCTCTCTTACAGCAACTTCGCGAAGAATTATGTACTTTGAATGGAGATGAGGCTGTAGCACTTGAAGAACCAGAGAGTGACGAAGAAACACCAAAAGATCGTAAAATGTTACAAGCTGTCCTGAAAAGTGAGTTACAAAAGAGTTTTATTTGAACTTTTTTTTTTTTTCCCGCTTTAATGCCAATCATTATCTATTATCTACTTAATTCTTGTTCTTTTATTCTTCTCTCTCTTTAACAGAGTTGCTTTTTGCTTTCCCTCTTATATAACACTCAGTAACCTCTTGCATCTTAATGTCTTAGTGGTTTTATTGACTTGCTTGGGGTGAAACCATTAAAGAAAAAGAGTAAAAAAACTCACTTAGCAAAAATATTCAAAAGATTTTGCTTATGATTTCAAAATGAATTTTAAAAAACAAAAACAAAAAAAAGCAGATCCTGAATTTGCCATCTTTTTTAAAAAGATGGCAAAAAAGAAAAAGTTCTATTTTCAAAAGATGCAATATTTCATTTGACGTTTACTTTTTCCGCAACATCCTTGCTTTTCATTCTCATTATTTGTGTGTAAATGTTATTTATCCAATTTTTTTTTGTTTTTCCACACTTTTTACTTGGGGTTTCAATCTAATCTAAACAATGAAATCCTCCATTAAGCAAAACCCTTTGGCTGTTCTAAACTCAGTTTCACATTCCTCTTCAATTGAGTTCAGACAGAAAACATTTCTGCAAACACATTACACGGTGACTTCTATTTGCAATCAAAAAACATTGCCATAGTTAAATAAGCTACAGTAGAAATGTTAAAGGATTTAAGAATCATAAATCCTAATTTCTCTCTCACACTTGTTTTTTTGTTGTTGTTTTTTCCCCACTACTATAGAGGGTGAAATTCCAGATGCTACAATGATCCATATGATTCGTAAAAGTCGTCAAATGGCTCGGGAGATGGGAGATTTCATCCCAGTTGATGAAGCTGGCGCCAAAACTGAGAACAACAACTCTCGCCTTGTCAGGTAGGCTTCCCATGCTTTTTTTCTTTTCATTTTACATAGCAGTTATTTTTTATGTACCTAACAGACTATCCTACTGTTATACTAATTATCATCAGAAAAAATGTTTTTTGTAGGCTCAGTATAGATTGTATTGACAAGTTGCTTAGCACTGATTCTCTTGGGAAAGAACATGAATCAACTGCTCCCTGTACTCTGTCCCATTGTCAGTTATCTTGACAAACAAAACTCTCCATGGGCTTATTACATGGGGGGGGGGTAAAGTTCCTAAGTATAATTATCTCAACACTCAAGCATTTGCAGCAATAAAAAAGCTCTTATATTCCTTGTCAGCTTTGACAGGGGTCATTCAGTGTTAGAGATATTTACTAAATATATCCTGGCACAGTGTTACACTAGTAGAGACTTGCTGAGTGTAAGTTGTCAGACTTGGTAGCTACTACACTGATTTATTATAGGGTGTGCTCATGCCCCCAAATCAATATTCTGGGCTTTACTCTTTGGAATGCTCAGGCTGAGAATTTTTCAGCACATTCTTAAACATGAATTTCTAATGCTAATTTGAAATAGGCTTTTTTTATGTAGGGAAATTGATTTTATTTACCTGGCTTATTTTACGACTAAGGTAGGAGGTGACACAAGGTGTCTTATGTGGGCTGTCCATACACATACATATGAGCCAAGGACAAAAATTGTTCAGTCCTCGCGACCACTGTCACGCTGTCGTCGATATTACTCCGACCCTACCTCTTTTAAGTGTAGTATGGATGGTGCTGCGGGAGCCTTCACTATTGTAAGATAAGAACAGATACTGCACATTGATCCCGCCTCGAAGTCGGAGAAACAATGTATGGGAATTGATTTCCGTGACAATTGCCTGTAAAAGTTATTTCCCTTGGAACTATCCACGAAATTATGTTTAATGAATCTAAGGGACATAACTCTTCTTTCCACATGACCTTGGTTCTCTGCCTCTTGTTTTAGAAAACGTATTTATCAGTGCGCCCACGTCGCAGCCGAATGTGACACAAGTTGAGTTATAAGTAGGCTTACCGGCACTACCATGGAAAAAAATTGCTCCAGCACCCTCGGAACTTTCCGTTTTGGGAACGCCTCGGGTGTGTAATTACCACAGACCCATCTCGAATGAGTTATTCCTGGCTAATATTATTTTTAAAGTTTCCTGGCAAAGGCCAAATAACTATTTACACTATGTTGTAAACTGAATTCGCGGAGGTGATCTTATTTTTTTTTCTTTTCTTGTACAGAAACCAGAAATCAATTACTATAAATTCATTATAAGCATATATCTACTTAGCAATATAATCAGCCTGTTAAGTTTCTGCACTTTTATACACTATGTCCCCCTTCAGATGTGAGAAATCATAGCTCTCTACAACTTCCTTTCCTGCATAGCTTTTATCTCCCTGTTCTGCCATCTATTTGCAGAAATTTGTTAGGTAGGTTATTCATGGTTTCCCTCTGCTCCTCTTACCTTCAATATGTCTTACTAAATTCTCAAACCCTTCATACCCTCATATTATGTGTTTTAAAATACCCCTGAATCATGACATTGAGACATTTTGAAATATCTTGAATTATACAACTTGTAATGTTTTGGAAATACTTTTAAAACCTCACCACCACTTAAAACGTTTTGAAACATTTCTGAATAAAAATCCAGTTTCAGTATTAAACGACCCACAGGGGTTGATATGCTGGCAAAACAAACCAAACCAACAATCAATCCTCCTCATGTGTAACTATTTTCTTGTATATAAACTTTAGTGGGGTTGCAGGACTGTTTTCAGGCACTTAATATGTTTGGATAAAACTGTTTTTAGTTTTACTCTTGCAGCTGATTTGCATGAATGTTCTAGGTTTTGTTTACAAGTAATAAAAATATTACATATACCTAAAAAACCTTGACTAGCAAATCAGTTTTCCTTTTCTCTCTCTCTCTCTCTCTCTCTCTTTGCAAAAAAAGTTATCGGGAGTGAAACACAAGGCCTATGATGATTAACTAAGTTAATACATATTTAGAGTTCTGTCTGACTGCAAACAATATATACAAAGTGTCAGAATTTATAAAACTTAAAATGAATTTGTATAAATAAAACTATTTTAAATTTTGACAGCAGCTTCACCCAGATTTACTTTAATCATATATGCATGACATGGTTTTATGTGAAAAATTCAGACATAAGGTGAGAACATTTTCTGATATGGGAGATATTTTGTGAAAGAAGATATTTGTTTCAATAAAATCCAAATCTGTATTAATATCAAAATTTGATGTAATATTAAACCACATAATTAAATATGGCAATGCAATTATATAAAATGACTATTGTTATCTTTATATACAATCTTACCATATAAGGTTAGTAGACTATGTATTAAAAACATATTAACAGCTAAAATGTTAAATTGTATACAGAACTTGTTAGGTCTTGGCCATTGAAACAAATGCAAAAATTTGGTCTGTCTCCAGAATTTCTGTGGATAAAAAATTAATATCTTGTTTACAAAACTAAACTATCAACCAGTTTAGCAATGAAATATGTCTTATACTTATAGTTGAGGAAGGAACTGAAATTTTAAATGAGCAATGAATATTTTTGTAGTACAAGAGGAATGGCCAATATTATGCATCAGAAGTGCCTCTATCAATAGACTAAAATATGACAGGGTAATGAAAAGTTATCAGCCTGACCAGGAAAGAGTGAAACGTAAAATCTGATATTTGGTCAGGTTTTAGGAAGTGGGTCAGACCAAGTACTTTTTAGCCAATTTGATTCTACAGCAAGTCCCCTGGTTATGACAGTCCTGGCCTAAAATGATTCATGGTTACAACGCAATCTCTATTAATTTTGTTTCCTTATTGTATGCCATATTGGACTGTTGTGCATTCATTCTCTTTTATTTATTTTGTATTTGTGGAAACTTATTGCCCTTCATTATGGGTCCCAAGTGTAACCTGTTCTGATGGCAGTGCTTTGAACAAGAGGAGAGCCATCACCATGGAAGTGATAGGACAGTTACTTTACAATGTATTGTAGAAATAGAACTCCATTGTAAATCAAGGGCCCCCTTGTAGTTACAATGTGGAAATCTTGTCACATGCACTAGAGTGTAAAAACAATATAAAGACAGTATTTCATGCATTAACATTGATACTTTTGCCTCATGTAGGTGTTGACAAGCCTCAAAATCATTGTTACTTCAGAATTATGTATATATGTATGTGTGTGTATTTTTATATATATAATTTTCTGTTTATACGTTATTTTTATAGATACAATTTATTTAAGTAAATGCTGTTTTTAACTAAACAGAATTAATTACATTTACTGGCCTGAATGTTCAAGAAATTTTCTAGAAAATATGCCTTCTTCAACAGGAATAGAACTTTTATTCCTATACAGAAACCATCATTTGACCTGACGTGCTGTACTATTCAGGTACAGAGAAGTGTCTGGTTAGCTAAGTCCAAATTACTGTTTATCAACACACAGTCTTCGATTTTTCTGCTCACAAAATGTATCCTAACATAAACAATGAAAACCTATAATGAAATTGATTAAGTCCAAAAATTATTTAAGATATTTTTTGTTTATACATTATTTTTTGTAGATACAATTAAAAGTCGTTCCTAAATTTATTATTTCTTCCTCAGGGATGATGATCATGACAAATCTGATGAAGATGACGAGGAGGGAAGGATTGATTTTGCTGTCAACCGAGAGGCTAGAGAAAGACAGAAAATGAAAGATGAATTCTTGGCAGCAGAACATGGTAAGTTACATACTGTACAAAATTTGACCTCTTCTTGGAATTAGGATTCCTCTCATGAAAAAAGAACTTTTAAACATATTCTGTGTGTGTGTTTCAATCTCCAAGCTAACATCTAATCTCTGCGTAGTTTTTCCTAACATCTTCCTAATGTTGTCAGTATATTCTACTTGTATTTACACTTTTAGCAGATTTTTGTGAAAATTCTGGACAAAAAAATGTAGCTTCAGATAAGTCTCAAATTTTCACAATGTAGGGCAAAAAGAAAAAAGGCAGTAGAATTAGAAATAATATTTTTAGTCAACTGTCAACCACCAGTGGCTAAGATTGTGTATTTGTGTTACTGTATGATAGAGCAAGTAATCACTTGCTCGGTGCAAGTTCAATTCTCGTCTGAAACTGTTCCAAATTTCTTGTAGTTTATCTTGAATTCAATTTATCAACTGAAAGTGTTAGGTTCAAAATAAAGAAAAAAAATACTAAAATACATGTCGATTGATAATGATACTTCATCTCAGCACCTTGGGTAGCTTAAAATACAATCATAATTAAATCCCATAAAGACACTTTCATTAATATTTTCTGTGAATATATTTATGTCAGTGCTCTGCAGTATAAAAAAAAAAATGATTCCACACCCATTTCTGTACACTCAGCTTTCTATAGAAATTCTAGGTGTAGAACTTGTAAAACTGTCTGCCCAAATATTTTACAGTCAATCTTAAAATGACAGTTTTTAACAAGATTCTGGCTTGCAGTCAAATCACATTGAAATACCAGTTCCTGTATGACCACCAAAGTTAGGCAACGTCAAGCCTGGTCAGCATCTAGATAGGTGACCACTTAAGAATACTTCTTTTCTTAAATGCAATATCTCTTCAAGACATAGGTGATCATGACTTTCCATAGATACCTTTTAATTATTATTCATGAGTTATTTTCTCCATAGTTTTGAATTCAAATATCTCCTTTGCCTAGACTAGTTGAAACACCAGTTCCTGTACAATCACTGAAGTTAAGCAACATCAAGCCTAGTCAATACCAAGATTGGTGACTCTTTGGGAACACTAGGAGCTTGACATATGGGTGGTGTAGTGGATAATGGCTTGGAATTGTTAATCAGCAAGCTGAGTTCCAATTCCAGTTAGGTTTGTTATATTCACTTGTGTAAAGTATGAATCCACCTCATTTTTTTTTTTTTTTTTTTTTTTTTTTTCCAGCTATGGGTTAATTTGTCAAACTTGTACCACAAAAACCATTATTATCTGAAAAAAAAAAGCAATAACATTTTGTACAAAATATTTAATTAACCTATTGAGGTGTTGATATGCTGCTAAACGAAAACAACCAACTAGATACACTATTTACATTATTCGGATTATTGTCCTCATCTTTGTCGCCATATTTATTACAATGTTTCATCCGTTGTACACTCCTGCAGGTGGTTGGAATGTCAAACTGAACCCTTTATTTCGCTCACTGGGGTAGACTGTTTTAGTTCCACATGCCATGTTTAAAAATGAATACAATATGGGAACCAGTAATAAGGAGTGCCAGAGAAAAGTGATAACAAAAATTGCAATATGAGCTCTGGTAAAAAACATGAAATGATCACAGTAAAAATTGCAATATGAGCGCTGGTAAAAAATGGTTGCTGAAGACATTAGCTTTATAATACCCAGAAATTCATACACAGACTCAAGGATACATGGCACAGTGGATAAAGGCATTAGTTAGATCCAGTGACAGGACCCAAAGAGTGTGAGTTCAATACCCGGTTAAGGTAGTGGAGAACTTTCAGAGGGGAATTAACAGGAGATACGTGATAACTGACATCTATTAAACATGGCACGTGGAACTAGAACTCTACCTCAGTGAGCAGAATAAAGGGTTCAGTTTGACATTCCAACCACCTGAAGGCCAGAACGTATAATGGCCAAAACGTTGTAATGAATATGGCGACAAAGATGAGGACAATAGTCTGAATAATGTAAATAGTGTACATAATACCTCATCTCAGAAATATAAGCAGAAACCAACCAGATAATTAATAAGATTCTTTATTCTTAGCCCATTTTATTTTTAGAATTATTGAAGAATAACAAATTTGTTTAGAACTTGTTTCACAAGACCAGAAAATCATTTCCCATCTGAATAGTTGTCATCAACATAGATACCAAGCTAAGCATTGATGACATCAGAAAGATAGTTGTTGAAAATTAGAAACAACATAAGTTCAAGAATAGAGCCCTAGCGAACACCTGCATTAATGCAAAAAGATCTAGAAGAATGGCCATTCAAGAACACTTTCATTTCGCAATTTGATAAGACTGAATCAGTTCAAACATTTTTCCATAAATACCATTAAGCTTTCAACAAGAAAACAAAAGAGGAAAGATAGATTCCTGTTTTGTTTATCAAAATGTTTTTATGTATTTAACAAACAAAAACCAAAATATTATTTGCAGGCAGTGATCAAGAAGGAAGTGACCTGGAAAGTGGCTGGGAAGAGCAACAAATACGAAAAGCTGTCAACATTCCTCAAGTAAGTTTTACCATTTTTCTTTCTCCTTCAGTGGACACCAGGTTGGTACTCATTGCTTCCATGATGACAAGATGATTAAATTTTAAATCTACATTGTTCATTTAAAATACTACATGAGAAAATATATTCAGTTTAAATAGAGAAGGTGTGATAAAAATGTCTTCATTTTGGGTTATACTTTTTCTGTTAACTGGAAGTTTTTGCCAGGAAGGGAGGGAAATTAACTTTTGTAACACAATTGTTCATTTCAGGTTTATTCAAATTGTGTGTATGTTTTTCATATGCACATGTATATTTTAATTCAATGACAATCTGATTTAAAAATTAAAAAGAAAGCGGTTTAATTTACTACTTAACTTCCGGAAAGTTCAATGAAATCTTAAAATTATCTGTATAGCATTGCAGCTCAGACCAGACATCAGATTCATTTGCAGGGTATAGCTTATAGTTGAAAATGCTTATAGCTTAATACAAGGAAAATAATTCTTTGGTCAGATTATTACCTAAGAAAGAAAACATGAGGTAAAATTGTAGCATTCAACAAATCATCATTCAGCTGCTACTTTCTCATTAGGGCCAGCTATAGCAAGGAAAATTGAGGTGAGGTAAGTGGGGAGTGGTCTGAGAGGTATTTGCCTTCCTTTTGTGTGGCAAGTGAACAGTCCTCTGGTTTAAGCTGTTAGAGGTCACTCTCTTATAGAAAACGAGCCATCTTTGTCCTGTCAGCTTTAACCCCAAAAAAGTAATTCATCAAGAACCCCGAGTCTGACTTGATTGAGTTGACTCTCTTTATCAGGGTTAGTTGACCTGGTTCTTGGGAGGTCCACTCCACTCAGCTGACCTTCTTTGTCAAGATGATAATTACCAAAACGATTTCTGTAACATCCTGCAGATGTGTCCTTATCAAGATATCTGCTGACAACTGATGTCATTACATGTGATTTCTTGGGGTTCAAAAAATTAACAGGCTTTTTGCCGAGAAATTAGTCGTGCAATTTTTTCTTGTTTCACATGTGCTATTTTTTACCTAAATTCACTTTTTGTGGCCATTTTAAATTTTTTTTTTTTTTCTTAGTAAGTTTAACCCAATTTCACAGGACTGTCATAAGTTATAAACTGGGTATTTACTTTGTAACCATGTCAGGTTCTACGTACTTTTTTTTTCTCCTAAATTGCATCTTGTTTTGTTTTTGCAGGTAACTCGAGATGATGACCTACCTACCAAGTACACATTGCCTGTCGTAACTGACAAATCTGATCCTAACTATGCTGAAGATCAGTCTGCTTTTGTTAGTGAAACTGTCAAGTCAAATTTTCAACCCTTTTCTCTCACTTCCAAAGACTCTAATGAATTAACCATAGAACTGATTCAAAAGAAACTGAAGGAACGGTAAGTAAGTTTATTTATTTGGTATCTGCTGGTAAGTACACACTTTGAAGACAGAAAATGTGAACTTTGTGAAGGCCAGCTACTTATTCTGCAAACCTTTCCAGATGATCTATAATATTACCTCAGGTAGGTACCGGCCAATGACTTTTTGACCACAAGTAACAAGGAATAAGCTTTTTAAAAGAATTATTGTTTTTAACACATTTTACCAAATCATTTACTTAGAAATTTGCATCAAAGTAATTTCAAATGTTTATTATCAGATTGAAAAATAGGCATTTTTTTTTTTTTTTTTTTTTAATGGGAAATTTTCTAGTGCAGCCTGACATGTGTCAAATAACAAACATGTTTCTTCTATACTATTTCTTTTAGATGGAAATTGTTTGAAAATAAATGCCAAAATTTATTTATGTCATGTATATTTGTGTTCTAGGATTAGTCAGATTTGTATAGAAGATGCCTACCTCTTTTCATCCTAAATGGATTGTCCAAAGTCTTAATCCTGAATTTGTCACGTCAGTCATACTATTGAACAATTATCTTAGTAAAACTGTGCTACTTTTGCCATAAAACATTTTCATTGCATAACATGAAAAGATAGGGACTTGTTTGTCACATAGAAAATAAAAAAACGTAGGAAATATGAAATTTTTATTATTTTTAACACCACAAATAGCATTGCTTTTTAAATTATGTGCATCAAAATCTAATCCATACCAGACCTCATTATGACAACAATATCTTGAAAGAGGATAGCTGGATAAATTAAAACTTTAGAAAAGTGTTTAAAGTTGAAAGAACATCAAAAAAAGAACCAAGTGATATGAACACATTTTTAAACAATCAAGAAAGTAATAAACATAACCACATCTTATACTTGGAGTAGAGATGTTACATAGTATATGATATATAATCTCCAAATTTTGGAAAGAACAGATGAAGTAAAAATCCACAGTTCGTAACACTTTTTTTTTTTTTTTTTTTTTTTAAGTGCTCAATACAAAATAGAGCAAAATATTATTATAATATTTTTATTATAATAAATTACAATAAAATCATTTTGCATCGCTACACAAAAACTTTCATGTTTCAGTACTAAGATAGTACTACTTCAGGTGATGGTAGATAACTTGTCTTATCTGATCTTGATCATAATGCCCTAATGACAAACATATATAAATAGTTCAACCCACATGGTCTGAAGATTGTGTTCAAGAATGGAACAGACTGTAGCCACTGGTTGTAGACATCAGTGTCGACACTTCTTATATATATATATATATATATATATATATATAAGTGAATATACATAATATCCAACGTTGATGATACTATTCAGTTTCATGCAGTTCATGCAATCTTTAGGTGTGAATTCTGACCGTTATCTGTGACGTTCTCATGATGGTGATTCAAAATAAATATTTGTGTGTTGTAAAAATTTTTATCCTATCCATTTGTACATTGTGTGTGTATATGTAATATATATATATATATATATATATATATATATATATAAGGATTCAGCAGTATGATAAGTTGAACAAATATGAAATATTTATCAATCTAACATGTTTCACTTTTATTAAAGCTTCATTAGAGATTGAGAGAAGATAAGACCATTTTGTTATTTTCAATTTTGGTTAGATCAATTCTCATTGTTCAGTACTGTATTACATGCATTAAAACCATGGATTATTCTCTATGTAAGTTTGTCAAAATTCTTTTATGTCTAAGTAGGCATCAGATGGTATTCATATTTGTGTCTGTCTAGTAGGAGGAGTTCAGATGTTTTCACTCTAAAATCTCTTTGTCCTCATCTTTTCATTTTATTTTTATTTTCTCAACCTTTTGTTTTAGTTATTTTCTCTCAATTCATAACAAACCACTTGTTCATCTTTACAAAAATATTATTATGAAAGTGAACTCTGGAGGTGGAAATTAAAATGAAGATTCTCTTTTAAGATGCAAGTATGTGTCTTATTATAAATTCTCAGCTGATTCACCCTATCACATCCCTGAAGAAAGCAACCTGATCTTGATAAACAAACTTGACTAAAACTTTGACATTATAACAGGCTGCCTATTTTAACCACTGCCTTTGTACTTAAAACTGACTTCTTAACAAGTACCACATTATTTTTTAGTCAAATATTCTTTCTACTACAATGCAATGAAATTTCAAAGAGCTTTAAGTTTCTCTAAAAATTTAAGTTAAAAAAGCCTTACACTTTTCCCATATTGGCCGTGTATGCATTTAGAAAATCCTGGTTTTTCAATGAGAAGAAGAAAAAAAGAAAAACATAACTTGCACAATTTCTACATAATATATTGAAAGTTATTAAATAAGTTCAATTTTTCTTACAGCTGGGGGGATTTCGTTGTGATATACACCTTTATTATACAAGTAAATTTATATAGTAGTTTGTATATTTTAAAATCTTTTAAGGAAAAAAAAACTATGACATTTTGTTATAATTTTCTTTGCATAAAATTGTTCTTGGTTATACAAAAATTTATATATTGTTTTCCTATTTTAAAATATATAAAAATAAATTTATAAAACTTTTATATATACACAGCTCATTACAAAATTCTAATATTCCAGTTTTTAGTCAGTTGATAAATTATTATAATACACTTAAGAATCCTGAATGTGTCAGAATAAAGAACACATTTCAGTGAAATTTTCATTTCCCAAAACTTTAGTTTATAATTATAATTTAGTTCTGTCGATATTTCTGAGATAAGGTATTATAAACTATTTCGACTGTTGTCCTCATCTTTGTCATATTCATGACTAAACAAAGAGTTCAGTTCCAATGTATATCGCTTAAAGAAGGCCAAAGTGTACAACAGCGAAAACATTATGAATATGACAATAAAGATGAGGACAACAGTCTGAACAACATAAATAGAATATATAATTTAGATGTACAAAAAAAAAAAAAAAGTGGTATCAGGGAGGTTATGGGATAGATGTCATAAATTTTCAGTTATATCCTTTTGTAATACAATGGTACCTTGACTTACGAGTTTAATTTGTTCAGTGATGGAGCTCATAATTCAAATTACTCATATGTCAAATCAATTTTCCCTATTGAAATGAATTGAAATGCCATTTAATCCATTCTGGTCCCTCCTAAAATCACAGCAATTTCTTTTTTTCTTTTTTTTTTTTTTTTTTACATGTCTTTAAATAAGAAAAATGTGCTTATAGACAACAAATATTGTGTAAAAACACAATACAATAGAATGTACTGCAATAAACTGGTTTTATTAAGTATAATGTACAGCATTTACCTTGGAGATCAGATGACTTGAAGATGTTGAGGGAGGAGAAAAGCTGAACTCAATAACTGAATCGTATTCATTGATTTTTCACCATGCTTTCCTCACTTTCATCTGCAGGGGGTTTCAATAAAACCCTGTCCAATGGGGTCTGTTTTGTTTTTCTTTTCAGAATGTTTCTGAAATGAGTTTGGCAAGTGTCATTAAATAGCGCCATCACATACCCAGTTGCAAATATTTCTGGGTGTTTCTTTTGAATGAAGTCTGAAAGTTTCTCCCACACTGCCAACATTTTTTTTATCTCACTTGTAGAGATAGCCTCCTCTGCATCACCTATTTCTTGCAAAACCTCTGTGCTGCTGCTGCTGCTGCATCTGTAGCTCCTTCAGATCCTCTGTTGTTAGTTCATTGGGTTGCCCCTTGATGAGCTCATTGTCACCTTCATCCATGTCCAGGGATACAATTTCCTCTACCACTTTTGATTTGGGTTTGAATCTTTCAAAGTCCGTTTCAGTCACAACCTAAAGCCCCAGCTGCTTCTATGCAAAGGTTAAGGTCTTCTTTGAAACACCTTGCCAGGCCATATCAATAATTCTGAGATATATCACAATATAGTGGTCCTTCCAGAACTCTTGAAGAGTGAAATTTGTACTCTCCATCACCTCAAAGAGCTTCTTGAAATTAGAAATCACCTGCAGGTCCATGGGCTGCAGTATAGGGAAGGTGTTGGATGGAAAATAGAAAACCTTTATAAACCTTTGAACTATTTGAGTATGTCATCTTTGGGGTTAGGTAGGTGAGCAGGTGCATTGTCCGGGACGGATGAGAATAGCTCACAAGGCAGGTTATTTTCTTGGAGATATTTCTTAGCATCCAAACCAAAGATCAAATTGACCCACTCAACAAAGAACTGCCTGGTGGTCCACACCATCAGGTTTGCCCTCTACATAATCTGCAGTTTTTCTTTTAGAATCTTATTTGACTTAAAGGCTCTGGGGTTTTCCGAATGATAAATGAGCAGCAGCTTAAACTTGCAGTCACTGCTCACATTGGCGAATAGTGTGGGAGGAAGCCTATCGTTCATGGGTTTGTTGCCTGGCATCCTTTTCTCCTCTGCCATTGTATATGTCCTCCTTGGCATCTTCTTCCAAAAAAAAGTCCTGTCTCCTCAGAATTGCTGGAAGATGTATCCTTTGGCTGCTATAACTCCAGCAGAAGTTTTGAACTAATCCTCAGCTGCCTTCATATGAATGCTCACTGTCTCACCATGCCTGACAATGGAGTGAATGCTGGTACTCTTTTTAAAATTCTTGAACCAGCCCCATCTAGCATTAAATGGTTTGCCTGATGCCTTATCCATCAAAGTGCTTGGTGTCTGCTGCTGCAAATCAATGTAAATAGCTCATGCCTTCTCACAGATTATAGCTTCCATCATGGTATCTCCTGCAAGCTGCTTCTCCATCAACCACACCATCAGCAGCTTCTCCATATTTTCACAGATAGATGTCCACTGTTTAGAAATTATTTTAACGCCCTTGGCTGGCATTATGACCTTTATCGGCTCCTCCTGCTTCAGTATAGTGCAGATCGTAGAAGTGCTACGCTCATACTGCACACACATCTTGGTCATGTGTTTTTGATAATTTCTCTCTTTAATTCAGTGCACATCATCTGCTTCTTCTCAGCACTGTACTTCGTACTCCTTTCTTTGGACCGATGGTTGGAAAGACAAAACTTTGCAAAATAACTGCAAGCACAACACTGGTGCTTCCACTGTGAGCTAAACTGCTTAAAGTGAACAAATGAGATGCTGGACGGATGTTGGGGGGTTAACTGTGGTGTTCACTGTGCCAACTAGTGGTGGGGTATCTGAAGCTGGCTCATAACCAGAATTTTTTGCCCTCAACTCAAAGCAAAAAAATTGGACAAGAGACAGCTCGTATCTCAAAAACTCATTAGTTAGAATACTCCTAAGTCAAGGTACCACTGTATATTCAAAATATTTTTCAAATCACTTTGAAGGTTTGTATGAGTTTAAATCTATTTAGTTTTATCTGTATAAAAACTTATTTCTATCCTGTATTTTAAATTGTACAAAATTTCTACTTTGTTGTAAAGTTCATATTCAAATAATATTTGTTATAGTTTAGTTTATAGGACAACACTAAATGTGAATGTGATGGAAAGAACAAAAAAGAGAAATCGACCCATCATTGATTTTTTTTTTTTTTTTTTTTTTTTGTATGTAAATATAACTTGTGGTGGTGTCAAGAAAAAAAAAATCTATTCTTCAAATTATGAAAAACAGTTGGTGATAAATTTCTCTAATAAGCTTTTATTTACTGCTTTTAGTGTTCTGGTATTTTTTTTTTTTTTTTTCTAACCTCGCTCATTAGTTTTCCTCTTGAACAAGTAAAGCACTGGCATGTTCAGAAGTATAATTCTCTCTTTATTTGCAAAGTGGTTTGATGTTACAGATCCATCAGTTCATGGTCCTATCATTACACTGTAATCCCTGGGGGCTTGGGCTGATCATAAACCAGGTTTCACTTGCATGGAGCATCCCACTACGAATGCAAATGCCGTAAACATCCTGTATAAGAGGTGGCAAAAAGATAGGGAGCAGATCATTGAACTTCCTCCAGGCATTTCTTACCCGTAATTATAATAATAATAATAATAATGATGGATAAGATTTCATCTAATAATTTTTTTTTTTTAAAGCTGGATAACACTGCTGATACTAATAATACTACTTGTATGAAAACAAAACCAAATTTCTCACTAATAAATATCATGAAATGAAGAGATAGGTTTAAATGCGAAGATTCTATCTTCTGCAGGCCATCATGTTCTCATTGTTTAACAGTTAAAGCAGCTAGATGTTTGTCTGATTTCCATGAGGCCAAGAAAGATGCAGGTTCAAATCTCACTGAGAATGTACCCTTTATTTCTAAGCCACGCCTGTTTTGAGTTAGCAATTGATTGATGGTCTTAATAAAGTTGCAGTAAAAAAAGCAACTAAAAAAAAAATACCGGTCAAAATTAGTGGTAATACTTCATCATATAAAGACTAAAACTGAAGATGACTGTAAACCCTATTAATAAATGAATAATAATGCTTGGCATTACTATGTTGTTGATGGCTGATCTGCAGATGGAATCTCCCAACCAATTTTAATATTTCTATTAGTGGCTTTCTTTAGTTGAATTGGTATAATCAGAATAGGTTTTGGAAAAGGTAAATTTACTCAAAATGTCTGCAAGCATTTCTTTGTCTAATTTATTAATTCTCTTGTGTTTTTGCCTTTTTTTCTTTTTTTTTTATTCTTTTCCTGTACAGTTTGGATTCCATTAACCAGGTGCATCGAAGTCATGTAAATGAACGTGACACTCTGGTAATCAACCTTGAGGACACTCAAAAAGAGATCGAAGAGGCTGAGAAAAACTGTAGTATCCTTGAAGAACGTTTCAAGTTCTTCCAGGAAATGAGGGGGTATGTGAGAGACTTGGTTGAGTGTCTCAATGAGAAGGTGGGTCTACACATTTTAAAGAACACAGTCTTTAACCCAAAATCTGTGGATGTTATCTCAAAGAAAAAGAAAAAAAATTTTTGATTGCTTTAAAGGACAAAACACAAACTGCTTTCTATTTTTGTTTTTTTTTTTTCCCCCAAGTTTTTGTTTTGTCATATCAAAATGATGTCTGTATAAAAGTTAATTTTCTTTGTTATTCCAAATATAATGGAGGAGAAAAGATGTTCCTAGGTGATCATAAAGCTTTTATTATTTTTTTTTTAATGATTTATTCCCTCCTCCTCCACCCCCACCCTTTATTTTATTTCTCTCTAAGTTTTAATGTTTCAAGAAGTTTCATGCCACTGTCAGTGGTGGATTTCCTGGTTGCTAAGCTGGTTAATATTTGGACTAATGTCAGAAGTAAAGTTTATTTCTCTTGCATTTAAACAAAAGATCACCAAGAAAACTTCCTCTTGTGTAATGCAATACATCCTTGTAGAAATAACCAGTAAAAATATTTTTTGTAATCTGTTTGGTCTGATTGTAAAAATCTTGGATATTGTCTTTGCAGCCAGGAAATAATGCAAACTTAGATCATCTTGAATGTTAAAAAAAAACTATTTTCACTTGTATTATTGACAAAACCATTATTTCAAATTGTTATCTAAATTTTAAAATTCTTAAGGGTATAAAATTCATCTTTTCAATACTTTGTTTTACAGATATTCCATGATTACATTCAGAAGTAATAAGTTGTTTTATTTTAAAGCAACTCCCACAGATTTTTTTGCACTTTCTTCATTTTCAGATAATTCTTCAACCACTTTTACTATTTAGTTAATAAAATCGAAAACGCTTCCAGTGTAACAAAATTATCTGCTTTTAGATATATATATATATATATATATATATATATATATATATATACACACACAAGAATGCTTTCTGTCTGTTAGTTCATTATCTTGACAGTGTCTTTCGAAGAATCAGTAAAGTGAACCACACTGTCACATGTCAGTTGCAGTGAAACAAATATGTTAACCCTAACTAATGTAATTTCATTGATGACTCATTTCCTAAATACAAATTAAAAAAAAAAAAATGTAATTTACCAGACTTATAATTTTTATTAGGTAAGCCCTTTAGCTGTAAAATTACTCTCAAAAGTATCCCATCAAAATTTTAAGCTTTTGTTTGTCTTAGCATGGAAATTTATCAAACCTAAATATTCTGGAAGGCTAAAGCTACAAAAATAAACTTGTTTTATTTTATATGGGTATTAGTAAATAAGATGCCACATGAAATATTTTGCTAGAATTCAGCTTTTTTTTCTTTTTTTTTTTTTTAATTCATTTGCTTTCATTTACAGTAAGATTTCTTCATATCTGTTCAGAAGATTTAATATTCTCGTCTAAAAGAAATAGTTACTTCCTCTCATTCCCTATGAAACATTGGCTTCCTTTTAATGTCACATCTGACAACATGTTAATAGTAGGGGTTTCAGTGGTAATTTGGATTCACAAGCAGTCCCCAGCCATATGTATACACACATTTAATCTGGTTTGAATTTAAATTTTCCTAGACTATAGGACCTACGCTGTCTTGCTATTTTACCCATAGCTGGAGCAAAAAGAAATACTTAATGCAAATTCAATAAATATTGATAACTACAATAATAAATCAAATGTTGAAATCTTAAGATTTGGGACTGATTTTTTTTTTTTTTTTTTTTTTTTTATAAAGCAAGCATTCTTAATTTTTGACTAGGATTTCTTTAATCTTAATTTCACTTGCTTTTTTCCAATAGTAGTAATATAATGAATTTTTATTACATGTAGCATTGTATTTTTAACTAGTATTTTTTTTTAATCTTAATTGTTTTTCATCAGAATTACTCCAATTCTCACTTTACAACCATTGGCCATTTAGATTGGCACCAAGACTGAAACACCCTCCCTTATAGTAGACGTTTTACCATTTAAACTACAAGAGACTTGGGTTTTTATTATTCCTCAGTTATCCAAGACTATATATTGATGTTGTTACTTTTACAAGTCATAATCTGAACTTTTTATTGTTGGTCATTGTTAATTTCTTTCTTTCTTAATTTTAGTCCTTTTTCATTAAGAAAAACATTTTTAAAGACTTTTATAGTTTAATTTTACAGAAATTTTGAGGGGCTGGCAGGGGGTGGGGGTGGGGTCTGCAAGTTTGTTCTTCACCTAGAACCTCTTCCTTATTTCCAACCTACATTTTACTAATAGCCATTTGCATTAATATGGAAGAAAATCTAGTCAAAAATTAATTACTTTAAATATGAAATTAATTATAAAGTATAGTTTGTCTCTTTGAAAATCATTTTCCAACGGAATTTCCTCTTGTGTTCACGCATAATTAGTACAGCTTGAAAAAAAAATGTTTGCCTTGTTTTGTGGAATACTTTTTAACTAGTTTCTTCAGGTTCTCAGTTTGCATGAAGTGTCTTTTGGCATCTTGAATTCTTCTTCGAATCTTTTTCTCTAGGAAAACTCAAACACTTGGAACAAAAGTGGTTTATGGTGATCTTTTTATTAAAAAGAAAAAAGGAAAAAAAAACAGCATACATTGTTTCTTAATTTCTTAAGATATCACAGAATTGGTCTTGTTTTCTATGCAGTAAAAAAAAATAGAATTACTGCCTGATACCATTTCACTCTTGGCAACAGATGACTAAGATGCAGTTGAAATAGGTGAAGTCCATTCACCCATAAATATAAAACTTAATCTGCATGCATACATACAGTTTTTATTTTATGCACATGCATTCTCTTTCCAAGTAAAGTAGTTGAGTAAGATAAAAAAAAGTTTTGTTTGTTCATGTTTCTCTTTGACTTGCCTCTCTTCTTCCAAAGATAAAAGACATTCATTAAATCACACCAAAACCTTGTTTGAAAAAAATTTAAAACAGCAACTTCTTATATTTTAGTATGATGATCAGTAGCTCAGTCAGCAAAGAAAATTATATTTTTGATTAAAGCTCTTCTCTTTGTTGATAAAAATTCACTAAGGCTGCCTGCCTATGTCACTGACCACTGTCAAAAACATAGTCCACAGCCCTGCACCACAGTTAATTGTAAACTCCTGATTCTTTTTCCTGTCTGTATAGTATGTGCTTTGCTAAGGTTACATATGATTTTAATTAGCTTTGTCCTTCTAAACAGGTCCCAATCTTCCTGTTATTTAACCCATAGCTGGAGAGAGATGAAATGGATTCATACTTTTTACAACAGTATTTGTACAAAAGTGAATGTAACTAGGATTTGAACTCTGCTTGCAGATTTCTAATTCCATGCCACTAACCATTACACTATGTGCATATATTAATGTAATGACTGACAACCAATAAGGCTACCGTATTTTTTTTATTTTTTTTTTTTTTTAAACTATTTCCATCAGCAGCCATAATTTACTTGGCTATATCTTTCATTTAAGATTATATTTGAAATTGAGTTTACAGGGAGGGGAAAGAGAAGTGTTCATTAAGCAGGTATTTTTAAGTGGAATTTATAAAATTCCCAATAGCAATTATTTTATTTATTCTTCTTGCCACTGTGCAATGCACAATGGCACTGGACAGGAGACCTTGGGTGCACCAATGCGTGTGCACACACACACACACACACACACACATATATCGAATGAAGAAAAGTAGTAATACATTGAAAATTGGCAGCATTTATTTTGCACAGAACCCAATGATAAAAGTTGTCCCTCAAGCATTGTTCTAGAACTAAGACATCACCATAAAGACAAGTGGTACCATTGACATGCAGAGGTTTGATGCCCAGGGCCAACTCCATGATTGTATGCCCTAAGACTCAAGTAGGGAGGCCTACTGCAGTCTCACTTATCAAAACACTGATCCACATTCACACCAGCTTGTTGGGACTGTAGAGCATTTGTACAACAAAGTTAACAGCGACAATTTCAAAAACTAAATTTTTATTTCACTCTTTGATTGGATGCCCTCCCGATAGGTCCACTAGGTATGCCCAGAGTCATTGTGTCTTCTACCCCCCCCCCCCTACACACACTTCTGCATGCTACTGACTGGTACCCAGAATGTATGTTGTCTTTATTATGCTTTCTACTCTGCTGCGACAATGAGAATTAGTAACATCCTCTAAAGAGGGCAATGAGCAACTGATTATTTTCAAGACAATATCTATAATCCTTCAGTGGACTCTCTTGCCCCTTGCCAAACAGCTGGCATACCAAATGGTGACTGAGTACGGCAACACACTCTCAATAGTGCATCAGTAAAAGGTTTCCTTTATAAATTATTTTTCTCTGAAAATTCTCAGTAATAAAGTTACTGCTGCTCCTCCTTGACTAACATGATGCTATTGCTAGTTCATTAGGGAGAGATCCTTTACAAAATAATAAAAGAAATGTACAAGGCAATAACATAGTAAAACAATTTTAAGACAGTAAAAAAGATACAGTGTTCATATGCAAAAGGGATACAGTCAAGTAGTTATAACCTTCTGACTTCAAGGCAAGAAAGAAAAATGCAGCGATAAGACCAAGAATTGTTCATTTTTATTGACTAAGAAGAAATTCCAGTATACATCTGTAGGACTTGTCTATAAATTTGGAGAGGGGAAATTTTTAACAGCCATTCATTGATAATTGGGACCAACAAAAAGCATTCATTATATATTAACAACATATACTTTCCTTTTGACAGTGATATAAACCAATTGTTTTATGATTTCTTTATGGATTTCAGTTCTTTATGAGTTGGACCTTCCTTGCATCATTCCCCATAGCAAAGCCATAGTAGGAAAGTAAATATTCACTGCATCCCTTTATCTTTCAGGTGCCTACAATTCAAGAACTCGAAGCCCGCATGGCAAATTTGCTAAAACAACGTGCGGAGAAATTGGTTTTACGTCGCCAGCAAGATGTCCGAGATCAGTGTCAGGACTACACTGCAAGTCGGTATCCATGTGTCTCCTCCTTCCAGACAGTGTAGGTGTGATAGCATGCCTTCACTGTTCTTAAATTCCTCCTGTGACTCTTAATTTTACTACTCTCTTGTTTTCTCTCTCTCTCTCTCTCTTCTTAGTGGCTCTTTGTTGTGTACACATGAAAAAAAATGTCTTGGGGGGGAAAAGCATTACACCAACCTAAGTGACCATTTTACTTTGCATACCCAGTTTAATACTGACTCTCACTTTTTTTTTCTTTTTCGTTGTGTATATCTGCAGGCACTTATTTTAATCATAAACATTATGTTGTCATATGCTGTTTACTTTTGCATTGTCATGAGGTACTTATTTCTGCCTGCAAACATCATTTCTCTTATTGACTTAGATTCAGGCTATCAACTCGAAAAAGGATTTTTTTCTTTTGTTAGATGCATTAAAAGACGTGATCATGTCTTTCCATAAATATCTTTTAATTATTATCCATGAATTGCCTTCCATTCTTGGGAAAGATAGTAGACTGGTTTCTTGTTGCCTTCTCCATGGTTTTGAATTCAAATGTCTTTTGCTTAAGCTGGTTGCAGCTTACAGCCACATCACAGTGAAATTAAGCAACATCCATCTTGGTCAGTAGCAAGATGGGTGACCACTTGGGAATACCAGGTGATGTTAGCTTGGACATGCAGATGGTATGACTTACAGATACATCACTTGAAATACTGGTTCTCATACAATCACCAAAGTTAAGCAAAATTGAGCTTGGTCAGTAGCAAGATGGGTGACTGCTTGGGAATACCTGGTGCTCTAAGCTTGGATGGGCAGGTGGTGTGATGGATAATGGCTCCAAATTGTTAATCAGAGAGCCACTTCCAATTTCTGTTGTATTCACTAACATGCAAATATACTTTAGAAAGGTATAAATCCGCCTCTTCTTCCCCCCCAGGCTATGGGTTAATTAGTAAGACTTGTATCACTAAACCATTATCTCAAAGTTCTTACGAATAAAAAAAAAAATTTTCTAGCTTTAAATAACCTTAAAAGGGTTGATAAGCCATAGAAAATGAATCCATCAATAGACTGGTTGCCATTCATGGCTAGAGAGCCCAGTCTGCTGTTTCACCTAAGATTGGGTGAAGAAAAGGTTCCTGCCTTTCTCAAAGGCATTAGTGCATAAATAAACACAACAGACTAGGTAGGAGCTTGGACTCAGTTTACTGATTCCAGTTTCTGCAACCTACACAAATTTGAATAGAATGATTTTATTATTTCAAAATGGCAATTCAAAAGAATTTCCTTACTTATCTATTGTGCTGTTCATTTTGAATTTGAGTTCACAATATATGAATATAATTCACAAATATTCATCACATTATCACTTATTCACATCCTCTATATTTATGAAGAGCAACCTGTGTATGCAATTATTTATAACTCACTTTCGCATAATGTCTCTTTTATGCTGCTTCATGTAAGTCTACTCAAATGTCAATTTTAAGAAATTGTGAATGCCTTACATCTTGATGTAATTCAAGTAGGTCCTCTAAATTTCTTTATAAGAATTTAGTTTCTCTCTTTTGTGAATTTCTGGAGAAGTTTTCCAAACATTTGTTAATAGGATAAAGAGATGCAAGCATATGACAACTGCCATCATCAAAAACAGAAATGACCAAGAGTTGCTTCTGCTTACTTTTATATTTAGGAAAAGTTATGGGATCACCACTTTCCACATACTGTCCTCTTGCTAGATGCATTGACAAAGGTCTTGTCACTTGTTCAACATCTCTTTAGTATGGTCAGGTATTTGTTCCTGTTATTGATAACACATAATGTAGTTCTACCTCTGAGAGAACTACTAAATAACGCTCTTTGCTTTAGAGAAACCATGAAGGATAAGTTCAACATGACAACAATATAAATGATATAAGCAATCAATAAGTATTCTTAATATACCTACTAGTATTTCTGTCATTCCAACAGTCAGGTCGTTATTCTACAACTGTTGAAGAATTGAAAGTGTTTTTTTTTTGTTTTTTTTAACAACATACCCATCACACACACATTATTATTATTCCCGATTTGATGTGCAACTCATCGATGCGGTTTCTTTTTTCTTTACATATTCTGCATTCAACCCACCTGAGAGTGGAAATCTATGTAACCACTCTATAACATTAGCACTTATTGTCTATCAGTCAAGCTGTAGTGGTGTTTCTCAAACAGGAGGCACTTGGCTCCCAAGGGAGGAATTTGAGTCATATAAGGATAATGGGGGGGGGTAAAAAATGGAGCAATTAAAGGAACCTGGGATCACAATAAGGGGAATGTGACCTAGGACTCTTGAGAACCATTGTTCTATTATTATTATTTGGGGGGGGGATAAAGAAACAAAGACAGAAATATTAGCAAGAAAAACTGATAATTTTTGTCGGTGTGTTGTTTTTTTTTTTTTTTTTTTTTTTTAAATGATTTATTGTTATGTTAATTCAATTTGGCTATTCTCCTTGGAAATTTTTATATTCTCAACATTTTGGCCACAGTGTTCTAATGTTATTTAAAGAAGGCTGAGATACAGCATCTGAAATATTGTGAATATAAAAACAGCAATGATGAGGGTAGCAGTTTGAGATGAATTAGTGTATAAAGAAAAAACTGATATTGGTTTGAAAAAAAGAAACAAAACTGACTTTATTTATGCTAATGCATCAATTGTCCATGTATCTACAATCAAAAATCTTGGTGGAAAATCATCATTTTTAAGTTTCCATACAATCTGTGAAGATAGTGGGGGAGACCTTTAATTGATTTTGAAGTTTGAACTTGTACCTGAATTGAGAAAACTATCCTCTTGAATAAAAAAACAAAAAAAATCTACAGAAAAAGAAGTTTGTTACTTCTAAGTGAAAAAGCATCCATTTATCTCTCTAGATAATGGTAGCTCCCTGTTTGGTCATAATTCAGTCCTTTTGCAAGCAGTATCTGAAATGGCTTCTTTGTATGGCACTCTCTTCTGCAGGTATGGCAGACGAATGTGAAATAAAGGTACAGGGTTAATCTCTCTGCTTCCTTTGTTTTCTTCTGATCTCCAACAGTTGGTTTTGCTTTTTTCCTGTCCTTCCTGCAATCATCTGCTAGCTGTTCCTCATCAACCAGAGGTGATACCTTTAAGTCTCAGGTCCCTCTTAAAAATGCTGTTGAAATGTAGTGAGGTGAGGCCTACCAGATGATGCCCTGAGGCTGTGTCACTATACATGATGTCTTTTAGTATACAGCCATCATTCATTCCATGTACGTTACCCAGCCATCAAGGATTATGTTGACAGAGGAGAAGATGCATGATCCAGGGGTCTGCTTGCTTCAGCACACAGCGATGTTGGTAACTTTCTCTCCATGTGGTTTCCTGCCTGACATCTATTGTCCAGGTTTCACTGTAAAGCAGAGAATGACACATTCCTGGAATACTTTTAGTTTGGTGCACAAGGTCAGCTGACTGTTGTCCCAGACTCTCGTGCTCAATTTGGACATCGTTGCTGCCACTTTCTCCATTTCCATGTCAAGTGTTACGTTCTTGGTGTTGGTAGAGCCCAAATATGTGACAATTCTGTGATTTCAGATACTGCATCATCAATGCTGATTGACCGAGATGCAGAAACGTGTTGACCCATTACATTTGTTTTGTTTTGTTTTTTTTTGTTAATAGTCAGCCCAAATTCTTTATAGGTATGGTTTAACTGACTAATCAATTGTTGGAGGTCATGTTTGGTATGTGTGGTCAGTGTGCTGTTTTCTCTCAAACAACATTTCTCTGATGAGTACTGGGCACAACTTGGTCTTTGCCCTCAGGTGGGCCATGTTTAATTTATCAGTGCTTCTTGTGTGTAAGCAAGCACCTTCAGATTGTTTGAATGCAGAGCTCAGTAATATGGAAAAGAAGATACCAAACAAAGTCTGTGCTAAGAAACACCCATGTTTTATGCCACTCTGAATTATGAAGGGCATTGAAGTTTCACCACTATAGCTGACTACACCGTGCAAGTTCTTACGAAAGGAGGTGATGATGCTCATCAACTTTAGAGGAGATCCAATTTTCATTACTAACTGAAACTGGCTTTTCCTGCTAACAAGGCTGAATGTCTTTGAGAGATCAATAAAGGCAATGTATAGTGGCATTTGTTGTTCACAACATTTCTCTTGGAGGCCAACATAGAGAGAAGATCATGTCAACTGTGGATCTTTTAGCCCTGAATTCACATTGGGATTCTGGGTAGATGCGATCAGCAAGGTCTTGGAGTCTAGCTAAAACCACTCGGGCAAATGCTTAACAAGGAGATATTGCAGTCACCCTTGTTTTTATACAGGATAATTGTGACATTAAGTGTGTCCTGGGGAACCTTTTCTCCTCTCCAGCAGAGACTTAGGAGACTATGGAGTGATTTCAGTGAAGTCGGTTTACCACATTTAATGATCTCTGGTGATATACTATCTTCCCCCAGTGCTTTTCCACAATCTAGAGCATCAATGACTTTACTGTGCTCTTCCTCTGTAGGGTTAGAGTCCAGCTCTTCCACGACTGGCAGACACTCAATATCATCAAGTGCTTCTTTGGTGACATAATTTTCTCTAGTAAATTTCTAGCTAGTGCTCTATCCAGTGTCCCATTTCTTTGTAATTAACTTTGCTATCTTTGATTTCAGGGATTGCAGACCTCTTTGCCAGTTATTTGGTTAATGCCAGTACATATTCTGGGTGTTGCCTGTTGGATGTTATCTGACAGTCAAAGCCAGTAGTCATTTTACAATTGCTGCAGTTTTTCTGGGCTTTGCTGCAAGCAGCTTTCAGATCCTGCAGATTTTGCTGGCTAAGATCATGCTTGAATTTAATCCATGTACTATGCTTAGCATTGATGTCCAACTCTAATCTGAAGATGTTAGCCTGAAACCAGTTTTTGTTCTTGTGTGCTTTCTTTCCATGGACTGCTGATGATGTTCCAGGAGGAGTTCCACCTGTCTTCCACACACTGGAAAGAGGGTCTCCACAAACCTAAGAACTTCTGAATTTTACCTAGATAGGTGGTCTTGCTAGAGTTAATTCTCAACTGACATCTATTCTTTGAATGGTGGAGATTCTTAGGTTTTAACTTCACCTTTTATGAGATCAGGGAATGGTCAGTGTCACAGTTAGTGCTGTGGTAAGTTCTGGTGTTGCGGACGATTAGGAAATTGCATTTACTGATGTCTGGGTTCATTTTCCCTATACCATAGTGACCTAAAACGTTTGGGCTGGACTCTTGATCACCCACCTTCACTTTGAAGTCACCTATAAGGTAAATATGTACATATGCGGTGAGGCACTTGACAATGCTGTCAAGTTGAACATAGAACTGGTCTTTGACTTCAGGTGGGGCTTGGAGTGTTTACAACACCTTCATCTGTAGAGAGGTGAAGAGTGAGAATTCTCTGTGCTACCTGCTAGATGTGCAATCATACAGAATAGGGTTTACCTGACAGTGAATCCAATTCCATGTTCCCTGCATTCATTGACTCCTTTCCTATGCCAGAAGGTATAGTGTTCTTCCTTTAGAGATGCACTGTTGTATTTCCTCTAGAGCTGGCATATCAGTGTTCCGTCTGTTTAGCTCGTGATCGATCACTGCAGTCTTGCAAGGTTCATCAATTTTCTGAAAGTCATCAGATAGACCTGTGCACATGTAGAGGGTCCAATTTTCTGTTTCAAATACTCTTTAATTCTGTTTCAGATTTTAAGGAATTCAGTTTTTGCTTTCATTTTCAGTATAGAATTCTGCTTTC